CAGAAATTTTTCATAAGAGCCCGTGAGTCAAATGAAAATGCCACAAGGGCGAGCTATGAGGTGGCAACGTTAATTGCTAAAAATTGCAAATCTTTTGCTGAGGGTGACTTTATCAAAGAATGCGTTATGAAAATGGTTGAGAATATCTGTCCCGAGAAGAAGCAAGAGTTTGCCAACATTTGCCTGGCTCGTAACACTGTAGCACGGAGAATTGAAGAGATTTCATCAGATATTAAGAGACAGTTGACATCCAAAGGAGTGGATTTTGACTTCTTTTCAATAGCCTGTGATGAAAGCACGGACCTATCTGACACAGCTCAGTTGCTGATTTTTATGAGAGGGGTGGACGATGAAATGAATGTGACTGAAGAGCTACTTGACCTCCAGAGCCTTACGGACCAAACAAGAGGAAAAGATTTATTTGTTTCTGTTAGTTCCGCCATAGATGACATGAAACTGCCTTGGAACAAAGTTACTGGGATTATTACTGATGGGGCACCTGCCATGGTTGGTGAACGAAGTGGATTATCAACCCTAATCTGTAACAAGGTGATCGAAGAAGGAGGCAAAGCTATTAAACTCCATTGTATCATTCATCAACAAGTTCTCTGTGCTAAACATCTCAAATATGATCATGTTATGAAACCGGTGCTAAAGACTATTAATTTTATTCGCTCTAAAGCCCTGTGCCACCGCCAGTTTAAACAGTTTCTACTGGACATCCAGGCTGAATACGAAGATGTTTTATATCACAACGATGTAAGATGGCTCAGTCGGGGGTCTGCACTGCAGCGTTTCTACTCTCTCAGAAAGGAAATCGGAGAATTCTTGGAAACAAAGGGACAACCAATGCGAGAACTATCTGATCCTATTTGGCTGGCTGATTTGGGGTTTCTAGTTGACATAACAAAGCATCTGAATGTACTGAACACGAGTCTTCAGGGGAAAGATGCAGCGGTGAACCAGCTTTATTCACACCTCAAAGCCTTTGGGACAAAGCTGCAACTTTTCATAAGGCAGTTGTCACAAACACAGCCCAATACCATACATTTTTCAGCGTTGCAGGAAATAATGAACAGTTTTCCACAGGACAATATCAGTGCGCAAACGAGCAGGTATGCAGCAGACATTGCATCTCTGGCTGGGGAGTTTAAACGGCGCTTTCAGGACTTTGCAGCTATTGAAAAGGAGATCAGCCTTTTCTCCTCTCCATTCTCTGTTGACCCCGAGGATGCTCCAGATCAGCTGCAGCTCGAGCTCATTGAGCTGCATTGTGACAGCGAGTTACGCAGTCGTCACCAACAGCTCTCTCTTGTGAACTTTTACCGCCAACTGGATAAGAGCCGGTTTCAAGAGATTCGAACATTGGCTAAGAAAATGCTGAGCTTGTTTGGCTCAACATATATGTGTGAGAAGACATTCTCTGCTATGAACTTTAACAAGAACCGCGTGAGGACAAGACTAAGTGACTCTCACCTGCGTGACATTTTGCGCATCAAAACCACTGCCTTTGAACCAGACCTAGCCTATGTACTGCAGTCCAGATCTCAGTTTCACCCTTCACATTAGTGTAGGCAAGTTTTTTTTTCAATTGAGATGAATACATTGTAAAATCTCAGTTAATGTCAGTTGGTCTAAATCAGTTATAAATATATTTGGACACAACATGTATAGTTGGTGTTATGTCGTTTGCCGTTTGCAATAAACTTTGCATAAAATAGTTAATTTGCATTTAATTTTAATGGTTCAAAGAATGTCAGGCAAAATGGTCGGCCCTCACACATGTTCACTTCATCAAATCTGGCCCTCTTTGAAAAAAGTTTGGACACCCCTGCCCTAAGTTCACTATGATCCCCACATGTATATGACCTTCCTGCTCTTTCAAAGGTTTTAGCTGCCTCCTTGTACTAACAACAACAGAGCATTACACAATTTAAAAAGATGTTGCAAATTCTATTTCGAGCCATTTTTGCGTCAGGGTTTTTTGTGCAAAAACAAGCAGTGTGGCCGTGGCCGTTTTCCTCAGAAACCCCTTTTTGCGCAAGATCTTTATGCCTCTCCCTGTAGACAAAGCCACAGTGTGTGAGAGTGACAGATTTGCATTGCCAAGCTCCCTCCATCTCCTTCTCTCTGTGTGGAGACAGGGTACAGGAGTGGGGGGATGAGGGACACAGCACCCCCTCTCTTCGCTCCCACACCCTGCCCAACAAGCAGGAGGCTCCAGGGACCAGTTCCAAGGCAGAGAGCAGGAGCAGTATGACAGTAGGTGGAGGGGCAGTTGAAGTACCAGACCTTGATAGCTTCCTGGCCAAACCAGTCAGGATCACCTGTCAGAGGCTCCAAGATCTACTGGTAGATCCCGATCTAATGGTTGGTGACCACTGCGTTAGGGCTTGACTGTGCAAGATGCTGAGTATTCGTGCTTAAACCCTTTCTTTGGATTGGGGCCAGCAAGCAGGACCATCTCCCAGCCTTGAAGTGAAGCATTTGCTCAGCGGGCTGTGTTAGATCAAGACCATCATACTCAGCTCCTTGCACAACTGATCCCTTAGTCTTCTCCTTGCCACTCGTGGTTCTGTGCTTCTTTCATGCTACTCACACTGACCAGTCTCCCACGCCTCGCTCACCAAATGCCTTCCCTCTTCTGAAATCCTGCTACCTGCCCAAACCTTTCCTTCCTTGTTCTCTTCACCAACCCTCTGCTCATTGACCCATTTTCCTGTGACTAGCCTTTCAGATTGTGAACTTCTGGGGAGTGAGGGGACATGTCTATTTTATGTTACATTTGCATCACTACACACATATCCAGTTACAATAATTGCAGACCAAGTTCTTCAATCTCATCACTGGCAGCAGACATTTATACCCCTTGGGAGGCCCAGAAATGTCAAGAGGTCTCTCTGTGGCTCACAAGTCTACCTGTGTGTGCATATCAGGCTGCAGGATCAGGGGCAATGTTTGCAAAGTGCTTTGAGATCCTTCAAAGAAAGAGACCTGTTTTAAGTGCTATTTCAAGATTTAAAAATTTATTGAGTTCATCTTGGGCATTTGAAATTAACATATAGTGGGCCAGGTTTGGAAGTGGGTAGTGTAGTATGCTGCTGGGAAAACAAGACTTCCAGAACTCTGTATAAGCTATTCCCTCCCCTCACACTCAAAAGATTTCTTGTTCAAACTCCAGTCAGAAGTTTAAAATAGAAAACCCCTTAAAAATTTGAAAGGGACTGACACAAATTGATTGACGATAAAGAAAAAAGCACAGACAAGTCAGTTTAAAAAAAAAAAGAAAAGAAAAACACCGCCTTAGTACAAATTATTTTCAGCCCTATAAAAATAGCTGTCAGCCAATTTAGCTTTTTGGTTTAAACACCACATTTCAGTCTTCCAAGGGGGAGGTGTTCTGTCCACTGGTGGATATCTGCTCCTCAAAGTGGTTAACAACTTCAGACCTCTGAGTTGATAAGTTATTAAGTCTAACCTCTCAGTCACTCCTCACATTTTAGAGTTTGACGTTTACTTCTAGACCGTACGTATTCAGATGCTTAGGCCTTGTCTACACTACCAAGTTTTGTCTTCAAAACTTGTCAATACCCAAAACTAAAATCACCAAAGGATGTTCACACTTGGTCTCTCAGTTGATGGAGGCAAACTCATGTCAGTGTGAGCATTGCACTGTAGGTACCTATCCCAGTGTGAGGAACTGTGGGAAGGCAGAGCTGATCACTGCTCATCTTGGGATTCTCTGCGAGTTCTCCCACTGCCTCCTCAGCCAAAGGGAGCAACATTGTGAGTAGCTCTGAGCTCTGGGTACTGAGGAAAGTCAAAACGGCACAGCAGTCTGTTTCCCTCTCCCTGCAGCAGCAGTCTTCCTGAAAGGAGGACTGACAGTGACCTCTGGGCAAGAGAATGGGGAGGTAGCTCCATGCTTCGGGAAGGAGCAAACCTTATGCAGAAGGGGTGGGGTTGGGGACAGGGTCACTGATCCACAGAAAAATCAGTCTGGGAGCACACTCGAGTGAGATGCTATTAAAAAAAAGAAAAAAAATTCTCCCAACTGAGAAGCATGGGAAAAAAAAAGACACTCACCTCACTCACACAACTTGGGGTGTCGGGGTTCCTCTTGTGCTCCAGCCCCACAGTGGGGCACTGAGGCTCAGGACTTCCCCCTAGGGCTGGATTATCTTTTTTGGGGAGCAGAAACTAGTAGATTTTATGGCTCCCCAGGCTCCAGGGCGGGGCCTGGGAGAGGGTTCTGGGAGAGAGGTAGAGTGCAGAAGTGGGCTGAGGGTTGGGATGAGAGTTCTGGCAGGGAGTAGGAGTGGGCTGGAGGTGCGGGGTCTGAGAGGGAGTTTGGGTGCAAGAGGTGGAGCTTGCGCTCCAGCTATGTGTGGGGAAAAGAGGGGACACTGAGACTTGGAGATTCCCCATGGGGCTGAAGAACCAGTGCTGGCTTGAGCTGCTGGAGGGGGAAGAAGGGGAGGGGCCCCAAGCCCCACTGCAGGCCAAATCAAGGCAAGTGAGGGGGCCAGATATGGCCCGAAGGCCACAGGTTCTCCATCCCTGCTGTAAACAATAGAGGAAGGGGAAAGAAAAAAGTCTCTTGTAGGGATGAAAATTTTTGTTGCTGAAACTGGGTGTTTTTTCTGACACAAGTCACATCGCAGTGTGTACGCTCTTACTGTTTTGTTGCCAAAAAACAGGTTTTGGTGACAAAACTTGGTAGTATAGACAAAGCCTTAGTAAATAAGACAGTATCTCCCTTGACATTTTATTTGCAAAGGACTTGACAGAGCACACAGGGTGCATTGCTAGCATGCATTTTACTGAATCATCACATTTTAAAAATCTTTATGCAATGATGTCAGGACAAAGCTCTGGATTAGCATTCCAATGGCAGCATGCATCCTTTTTTATAGTCATTTGTATGAAGGCCGTTTGCAAACCAGAGAATTATCTATATTTAAAATGAAGGCATTATGATTTCCTCAATCCTGCTAAGGGACTGCAAAATGTAACTTTGCAGCTATACTTCCTGTGCGTGCGTGTGTGTGAACTTCTGCCAAAAAGATCATGAAGAAATGCGGTTCATGATTTTTTCTGCAATGCCTCCTCAGCATGTGACTATTTTAATCTGATTTCCTCCCTGCTTTGTCTTTTTCTATTATGCTGGTTTGCCTTTTTTTTTATTGCATTCTCTTTGTGTGCAGTTGATCAGGTTCAGAGATACTTTTTTTTTGCCAGTTGCTCACATGCATATACGGCGAGGAGCAGACTGACAGCACTTGACATCCCTCTGCTTCCTTATTTCAATATTAACTGTTTACCAGAAGAGAAACAGGTCTGACGCGAGGCTTGGGTTTTTTAGGGTTTTTTTGTTTGTTTGCTTTTTATTTTTTGAGTTAGTGAGGATTGTTTTTTTTTTTCTTTCTCAGTAGCACATCACCCACAAGGAGCTTCCTCAAACTGCCCAGTGCTGTTTTTCTCTTTAAAAGAGACAGGACTGTGGAAGTGTTTCACTTTCTGGTCTGCTGGTGTATAGCAACAGCTGCAAAGCTGAGTGCCGCTGCTACTCTGCTCTCAGAGCAAACCTGTTAAAGGATTTTCCCCCCTCCATAAGTCAATAGGCATGACACAGCTGCAGTTCAAAGATGCATTTTGGGTAAGTGTGCAGTTCCTCTATATTTCCTGTGTTATAACTTCATTTATACATCTGAAAAGATTTTGTATTAATATAATAACAGTTCAGTCTTCAAGTTGAGTTTAGACGCAGATTAAGCTTCCCCCTTCCCCCAAAATATACTGTTTGCTATGACGATCATTTGATCTTTTACAAAAAACACGTTATAAAGCGCTGTGATCAACTCGAACTAAATAACAAGTAACATTCTGATGCTTTATTTCTAAAACTAAGGACTCAAACACTTTTGAAAGGAACAAGGCATAGCTTTTCATGCAGCCCCAAGGGCCCGTGCTTGTAATGAATTGTTGGAATTAGGAAGTTATTGCTCTGAGCAGGTGAACTGTTGCTAATGATTCTGATTTCCCTAATACTTGCTTTTAGAATTTTTGCAGCCTCGGCTGAACCAACAGCCCCACACAGAACCTTCCCATGAAACCACCTGCTCTATGTGTGTATCTAAATTAGATATGCAGAAGGGCATTCAGGTTGCTCAGTATCCCAAACCCTGAGCTGATGAGTCAAGGACTTTTGTTTTAAAAAAATGGAGAAGGACTTAATCCCAAGAATTTGAATAAAAATTTGGGAGGGGGTTAATCTGTGTTTTCATTTCTGGTCCTTTAGTTGTCCTATTTTCAATCTCTTCTCTGCAAACACAAGGGCGAGAAACATTTTTTTTAATGAAAATAATCCCATGAGTGCAGGAGCCGGGGCTTTAAGAAAAACAGCTCATGTTATATGATTCTGCAAACTGAAACAGATATTTCTTCCCCATCCCACTTCCTCTCCACACCTCTCCCCAGCCCTGGAAAGCACCTGCAAAGGATGGGGAGCCTGCATGTGGGAAGGGAGTGCAGATGAGGGCACTACTTTCATCATCCCTTCACTAAACCTGAGGAGAATCCACTTTTAATGTAACTCTTATTCTGTATTAACTTCCATGCAGCTCCCCACAGCACAATGAACCCCCCTGAGATGAAGTGGAGGGAAAGGACCAAAGGCAGAGTTGAGCGGGGAGATAAGGAAAAAGGAGCAGTGTTGTGGTTTAAAAAACAAAAACAAAAAACAAAACCAGAAGTGGCTAACCTACCTAAACTCTGTATCTCCAAAGGAGAAGTAGGCAAACTTCATTTCCTTACATTTACTCTCCACTCCACTACTGAAAGGTGACCAATTCCTTAGCAGCTTGTTTCCACTGGAGTTTTAATGCCTCCTTGTTGGAGAAGGCCCCAGAGCTACTGTGGAAGCACAAACCTTCTGCACTGATAATCCTGATCTCCAGTGAATGTTGGAATATCTATAGTTCTGAGGGACAGCCACTGGGCTCCTTCCCGTGATGGGTGTCAACCCCAAACCCCGCTCTCCAGTGGTTTCCCTGGGTCAGCTTTCCTCCCTTCAGTCATCTTCAGAAAGTTGCTCACAGGAGGAGGTTTGAGCAGTTAAAATACAACCAGAACATACAATAATTAAAGTTCCTCCAATATTGCTAATTCAACTGTGGGTGCACCTAAGAGAGATTGCCCAGGCCTGTTTTTCTGTTAAGGTTGGTAAACGCACTGTAAAATTCAGGGTGAGGAACGTAGCCTGTCGGCTATACTATAGGAACTTCAGCTTCTGCATTTCGAGACTTCTTTTTAAACTGTGCAACTTAAATTTTGCATAATACATTTTTGTATATACCTTCTAGGGGCCAGATCTTCAGTGGGAGTAAATCACTATACCTCTATGGAAGTCCATGGAGCTATGTTGATTTACACCATCTGATAATATGGCCCTAGGGAAGTTTTCATTGTGTTTTTTCCCTAGTAAGACCCATTGTCTGCACTTTGAAATGTTAGTTTTTAAATAACTCCTATTAAGCTTTGAAGTTTACACCTCTTTACATGGGAACATACCTTTATTGTTGCTATTGTTTAACTACAAAGAGTTTTATACCTGGATTAGTTAATAGGGTAGAAATATGTCTGGTGGTTATATCTTCGCAATGAAAAACAGCCCTAAAATCAAAACTTAGAATATACAAGATATTGCACAATATGGCAAGCTCACACAGCTAGGCGCTCTAAGTCACAGGATATGCAGTTAATTTACCATCCATGAGTTTTTGCTATGTCTAATGGCAATACAGGTTTTGGAAGAGATCTGTTGTGTTTCTTTAAATAAGAGATAAATCTCCCTCATTCAGCTTGTCCTACCAACTATGGCTATGTCTTCATGACCAAACATGGTGGTTTTCACATCATGAGATAGCTCCTTAAAAACCTAGTGGAGACCAAGTACAGGTATATTTGAGCTCAGCGTACCTGGTCGAGGTCACATTAATTATCAGTTATAAGGCAAACACTATGCTTCATCTCCAGTAGGATTTAAATTGAGGCATGGGTCATTTTTAGCTTGTCATAGCTACTTAAAGGCAACACTGTATCCCTCTTAAGTGGCTGACCGTGACAGGGAAATAAAAATTAATTGTACCTTATCTCTGATAAGGTTTTATATGGCGGCAGCTCTCTTGTGTTAGCAACTGTTATACAGTGTTATGTAACAACCTCTCATCCACAGGCTTTTGCAGTGAATACATGTCTTGAGAGCAGCAGATCTGTGCCTATCAGGGTGGGCAGAGAAAAAACGCAGGTTACCCTGCCTCTTACATCAGAGTTGCCCGTATTTGAAAAGCTGAATCCTCTTTCTGGAAAATGAATCATTACAATTGGTTTAATTTTCTATTTCCTCTCCCCAATCAAACGTGGAAAATTTAGCACAGAAATGACTGCCACATTTCAAGCTTCAGCCGTGTTTGCTGAAAACTGAACATGGGGAAAACAAAAGGTTATTAGAATTTTTTATGTGAAGTATTTTTAAAACTGTCTCTGTACAAGAACTGCTAAAAATAATTTATTCACATTGTAAAAATGCACTTTTTTGGCTGAAGTGTCCCATGCTCCAATCTATAAAGTGACACTTTTGGGGACATATGAAGGATGTGAAAATAGATACTTATATAGAAAACCATTTTGCTAACAAAAGCGTAGAATTTACTAGCAGATGAGTGCTCTGCAGTTACCATGTTATACCAAGGTAGCCATGCCATCTTACCAAAGCTATGGGAAAGATAACTTTCCATGTCAGCTGTCACACCTGTACTGTACCATTTCCTTTCCATTTAATTTCAGCAGGGTTGTTAGTGGGCAGAGGTATGCGAAATAAGGGGTTTTACCGTTACAAAACTGGGATTTCCTCCTGTTGTTTCACTGCCAGAAATCCTGCGGGGAAATGGGGGGGGACTCTTCAGGAGGGTTGCCAGGTGTCCGGTTTTGAACTGGACAGTCCAGTATTTGAACTTTCTATTCGGGAAACAAATTGAGAAAATATAAATGAGAAAATATAAATGTCCGGTATTTTCTAAATAAGATGTAATGTAGATTGTGATGTAATGTCAAGTGTGTCTGGTATTTTTGTCAAAATCATCTTTACTGCAGTCTGATACTGATCAGCCTTACTGCAGTCTGATACTGCAGTCTTACTGCAGTCTGATACTGATCCATTAAAACTGATTGGGGCTTTACCATAGACTGCAATGGAGCAAGAGCTGGCCCTAAATCCTCCTATTTTGACAAAGTTCATCTCCACCATCAAAGCCTTTTAATGCAGCTAACTCTGGCTAGGAACCGGATATAGCGTCTGCTGGTACCATTCAATGCACTTCCTTAATCATCTTGGGAGACAGAGTATAATTTTTAAAAGCATCTCAGTCACTTAGGAGCATGGGCAGCAGGGATAAAAGGCAAGGGAAGTCAATGCCTCCCGTGGGTCTTACCGCTTAACCCCCTCCCCTCATCCTATCCCTATTCTGACCTGGTGACTCTTCCTCCAAAGTGGATCTGTTAACTTAAAAGTAAAAGACTTCCTGCTTGCCAGACCTTTGAGTATAACATTGAACCTGTGATAGAGCAATCAAGTGGTAATGAAACCATTTAACAGGCATGCCGGGCCCTGAATTTACGGACAGAAACAGGTGTGCATTACTCTACCTTCAGGACCTTGGTTTAAATATTTGCTTTAAATATTTCATTAGTTTGTTGTACCTATCCACACACAGATATTTATAGGCACAATCTGAGAATTCAGCTTTAGCCTTAAATGCTTGGCTCTTCAGACATAGCTATTTAAATAAATTCTTCAAAAGACCACCCTTATCTAAAACATACATTTTAATTTTAATTACTATGGCACAAACTTCCTTCCAAAGTCTTCCTCATCTTTCAATCTATCCATACTCTCCTTTCACCCCTGTTGAAGAGAGTCCTTAAAGGGACAACATTCCTTTTCTTCCAGGTAGCTGGACAAATGAGTTTCCCTTTTACTTCTGACAATCTGATGAACTAGTTTTAAGAGAACTGTCCACCAAGATTCTTTACTAAGATATAAAATTCTTTGATATGCCTAAAATTTTTAGAAACATATTTTAAAGATAAACATATAATGAAATTTCATAAACATGTCTTGTTATGAAAATTACACAAAATAAATTGGTGTTTTATTTTTCTAAGAGCAATGAACTTTGTTTTGAACTCACTAAATTGCTCTGACTGATTAATGTCTTTGTTTCAGTGAGTTTAAATATGTAGAAATCTGGAATGATTATGAAGGCTTAACCATATATTTAAAATATAAAACCAGTTTAAAAATACTGACGAAGAAAATGTAAAACAGAAAGGGCTGCATCATATATTCTATAATATTTAATATTGTATTCAGCAAGGTCACTGACTTGCATTTTTAAACAAATCTGACAAACTTCAGGGTATATAAAAAAACCTGTGACTGACATTTTTTATTACCAAATTTAGTGTTTTTAATTAAGTACCTTCTGCATGTCCAGTCTTCACAATCTGGCATGCAAAGGAAAACATGCTCCATTTTCTTTAGAAAGAAATTTTAGAGGAGTGGTGAATTTCCCCAAATGTAATTTGTTACATTTGGAT